CAGGGTACATGTGCATCTTGTAACATTGCGTCCTGAACTCTTCGCCTTCGCTCTCTACACAGTCATTGTCCACTATCACCCTCTTACAGCGCCCTCACCAGCCACACAATGTAGTGTCTCAATATTACCATTCCTGTCTGTGTCTGAAAACACAACAGTCATGTTAACACATTTTTGTACAGATACATTACATGCCGTGTAAGTACTCCAGCACTCTCGTACTGCTTTTATTCTACTTTGTGTGTGGCTGTTAGTGCTGATGTTTGTGAAATGTTCTTTCCAATGAGGCTCAGTTGTATACCAAGAGGCATACTTTGCTCCGAATGAGTGGACAATGGGTTGTTCGGATTTATGCAAACAACACCTCAGACTATTTGTAATCCTTTGCATGTGCAAAAAGCATGTTTTTCACGTTTTGTTAATACATAAAATTTAAATGGCATATAGACTTATGTAGATTTTTACAGTTTTAAGTTCAGATCTTCTCTAACTGATTAAATTAGGCTCTGGATTTTTTTTTTTTTTTTTCAATCGGGAAGAAAAGCATATTCCTCATATTTTAAAGCACACAGACCTGTTGTGGCTAAAAGGCTCTGCTGTAAGTACTGAAATTTGCATGTGCTAGTTCAGCATGCACTCACTAACCTTACATAGAACAGGCAGTATAAATAGCCATCATACCATAAATAACCCAATTTGCTCTTTTTTTTCCAGTGACTTAGCATAGACAGCAGCATAGCAAATGAGGTGATCACCTGCTTGCAGTAACGCATCTTCTCCTCTCCTTTGAAGTGATGCCCCTTCCCGCCTTTGTCACACTGCAGCTGAGAATCCTCTGCATCTGTAGCAGTTCTTTCCTGGCATGTAGGGGGGAAAGATAGGAAATAATCATCTCTCCCTCCCTCCCTCCCTCCCTCCCTTCCTTCAGCAGTAACTGTCTGCAGTATGTTGGAAAACTCGGTCATTATTAAGTGATGGTATATGCCATCAGACTACAATGCAGAGTGTGCTTGGCATCAGCAAAAGCATATCATCTGAACCTGTCAGAAGCTGCCTGCCTCACTTTTCTACATCAACTGGCCTAAAGTCTCATGTTTTCTAACGTTTTCAGTCAGCAGTTAGTCACTGAGTCACAGACTCACTGCTTCCTAGGTACCATTTATCTGTCTGATATGCTTATAATAACTTGGGGCCATACACTTCTATCCACATTTTTTATGGCACCGTCTCTGACTTTTGACAGGTAGTGCATGTTTCTAGTTACTCTTTTATCCTAGTATTAAAGAAATCATGTTTCTCATATGTCATTTAGACTAACTAATGACCCAAGTTAGCCAGGTGGATAACGTGAATGGTTATGTTGAGATCTCAGGGCACAGAAGGCAGCAAACAGACATATGTAATAAAAAAAATCATTAAAACTTTGATTTATTCCAGTAATTAAGTTAAAAAAAATGAAACTCATTTCATGTAGCTTTATCACAGACAGACAGATATATTTTAAGTGTTTATTTCTTTTCATTTTGATGATTGTAACTCACAGCGACTAAAAACCCCAAATTCAGTAGGTTATTTCTACTTATTCTACTGCTAAGTGTGGCCCAGCCAGTTATAAGGTTTAGGGGACAATCACTTTTTCACACAGGGTCATGTAGGTTTGGATTTTTTTTCTCCCTTAATAATAAAAACGTTCATTTAAAAACTGCATTTTGTGTTCACTTGTGTTGTCTTTGACTATTTTTTATTTATTTATTTACTTTTGATGATGATTTGAAACATTTAAGTATAACATAAATAGAATTCAGGAAGGGGGCAAATACTTTTTCACACCACTCTAGCTGGTCAGCAGAGGGAAGCACTAAGTGCTCTAAAACCTCCTGGTAGATAACTACGCTGACCTTGGACCTGTTAAAACACAGTGGACCAACCCAATCACATGACATGGTTCTCCAAACCACCCCTGACCAAGGTAACTTTACACTTGAGTTTTACCCTGTCTTGTGTCTTACCCTCCTTGTGCAGGGTGTCAGTGATCATTTTCTAGACAACGGTCAAGTCTGCCGTCTTCCCCATGACTGTGTGGCCAACTGATCCAGGCTGACAGACCATTTTAAGGCCCAGGACACCTTTGCGGGTGTTTTGAGTAAATTATCTGATTCGAGTGTGACATCTTGAGTCTCCAACATTTAACTTCTTCACCATATTTCAATTTTCTGACAATCTTTTTTTTTATCAGCTGTAAGTTACAATCATTACAAAAAAAAATAATAATAATAAAACTTGAAATGTATCAGTTTGTGACCACTCTCCTCACCTCCCCATCAGGTTTGACTGTGTATATCAACAATTTTACTCCTTCTATCTTTAAAATTTAGACATTACACCTTTTTTTTTTTTTTTATAAGCTGCGGCTCCAGCATCAAGCTACACTTTTAGCCACTTGAAACATCAATACACTGTCTCTCTCTCTGTTAAATCCACAGTAATTGATTCAAAGCTCTATGCGTTATTGTGTTTATTCAAGAAAAGTCTTTGCCATCCACTCAGCCACCTTTAATATCTTGTATTAAGTCTATCGACCAATCAGAGGCTGTGTTCAAGCTTTCCATCTTCTTGGGGCTTTATTACAAAAACATGGCTAATATTAGAGGGTTTCCTCAATGAGATAAAGATCCTCTTGTCTCCTTTCATTGATTACCATAATATCACAGCATAAATCCCATAGATACAGTATCTAAATGGTCTGAATCATAGACTGTCTATTGATTGAACATCATCTGCCTCCCGGCTGGGTGAAGCCTCTGCAAGAACAACACCCCCTGGTGACTGGTTGCAGTACAGGTCATAAACCCACCCTCCTCCAGAAAAAAATAATGGAGCCATGGACAAACTTTTGTCAAAATTAAATACGTCTTTGCTTGCGATGTTGACAGGTAGTTGTGGCTAAACTGGTCTGTGACTTTCTTCTTTGCAGTTCCACTTCGTAAAGTTTTTAGGGGTTATAAAAACAGTAAATTACGCCATATATTTATGACTGATACTTGGATACAGTCAATGAGTGTATGAAGGTTGCATCATTCGGGGGTACACTGTTTGAGCAGAGCATCATTTAAATGTTCTCGCAACAAACACTGCTGTGGAAATGCCAGTTTCAGGAAATGGAGAAAATTCACAGAAATACAGAGATCAATTTGCCTTCAAATACATACAATGGCGGTAGGCAGAGTCACGTTTTCCATACAATATTCATTCTATGGTTTGAATGCTTCAGAATGGGACCTTGTGATTTAAAGCTACTATGAGAAGATTTTTGATGTTTATGAAATACCGTATTTTCCGCACTATAAGGCGCACCGGATTATAAGGCGCACCTTCAATGAATGGCCTATTTTAAAACTTTGTTCATATATAAGGCGCACCGCATTATAAGGCGCATAGAAAAGACGCTACAGTGGAGGCTGGTGTTACGTTATGCATCCATTAGATGGAGCTGCGCTAAAGGGAATGTCAACAAAACAGTCAGATAGGTCAGTCAAACTTTATTAATAGATTACAAACCAGCGTTCTAACAACTCCGTTCACTCCCAAAATGAATAAACAGCTGTTTTAGGAGCCATTTTGGGGTCTTTACATAAACACACAAATAGAACTGAAACGGCACGCCTCGCGCAGTCATATATCCCAGCATGCACCGCGCGCTTCTTCTTCTACGGGGGAAAATGAAGTCGGCGGCTGCTTACCGTAGTTGCGAGACCTGTTGTGGCTCAATATTGGTCCATATATAAGGCGCACCGGATTATAAGGCGCACTGTCAGCTTTTGAGAAAATTGGAGGTTTTTAGGTGCGCCTTATAGTGCGGAAAATACGGTAGACTGAATTTCTTGATACCATTTCATGAAATCAATAATTAAACAAGAGCAACAGACACAGATTGACTGTTTCCAAATCCAGGTTCATGGTGCTTGAAACTTATGTAAGGGGGTTTCAAGTGGGCAATAAGAGAGAAGGCCCTTTATTGTTTTGTTTTTTCAGCATCATTTCCAGTCAAACTGTGGTGTTAGCAAAGTGAGCATACAAATCAACTTATTATTGACTTCTTTTTTTTTGTCAGTGACATACTTTTACTTTACGCTTTTTTTATGTTAACTCCAGTACACTCAAGGAAAACACCAACACACAAACAGTGTACTGGTATTAAGCACCCATTAATTTAGCTGAGCCTGAGGAGCAGAATAAATAAGAAAATGAGGAGTTTAATTGCGCATTAGTGAGGAGCCAGTGGAACAGGCTTTGGGCTGTGTTCTGAATAAGAAACCATTATAAAAACTAACCTGTCACACACTTGAAAGAACAGACCAGTTGGCATACAAAGGTTGTAATGCTTGTTTTGCCCCAGGGAACAGGCTGCATGCTGTATTATGTTTATTCTGAGCTGAATAAAATGTGCTGCAAAGGTAGGGTTGCATGAGCTGACCTTTTCAGTAGGAACGGTTATTTAATGGTGATAAAAGGTAGGAATGCTGTCATAGGCTCTAAACATATGTATGTACCATATAATTGACCTACATATTCACAAATTATGACGCAAATAAATTAAAATTAATTTTATTAAGAGAATTGTGTGCTAACACGTATTGGTGATTTATTTTTTTAATTAACAATTTAACAACATTTGTCAGTAAAGACATCTGATTACAGGTGCATTTCATATTCATTTATACATTTTTCATGCAGGATATTCCCCTCACTTCCATTGAATTAATGTTAAACAGCTCCTCATTCCCACACTGTTTGACATTTGTATATTTATATCTGCTTTGATTGATGCTTTGTGCGGCAGCTTTACTCCCATTGGATGCATCTTATCGAGGCCTTCTGTTGTGAAAACAATAGCAAGACTTAATTTCAGCCTCTGTTGTCTTTTTTTTCCCACTCCTACAAGTATGCAAAATAAAGAGCGTTGACAATATTGATGGTGCGGAGTAAATGCATGGGAGGTGGGCCTGTGGGATTCCAGGAGATATGATGGATTGGCTTCTGAATTGATTGATGTGGTTCCTGAGTATTAGCTTTCCTTATATTTAATTTGTGTTACTCATGTAGGGACTGTATGTTTATAAACCACGCAGACACTTAATTTTTCAGACCCTCATTTCAGACAAACACCAGTCCTGCTCCTGACTGTCTGGTGGTGAACATTCACTTTTGTATTTTTTTTCCTCAGTGTCATGTATCATTATGATCATCATGATGATCAGAACTTATTCCATTCCACTAATTACCAGCCAGAACATTATCATATAAATGCAATTGATGGAGAAGTTAATTAAGAAGTGCAGTCATCTTGTTTGTCTTGAATTTGCTTAGGACAAGATACAACTCTCATGATATTGTACAGATACTGATTTATTAACTCCCCTCAAGCTAAGCAATAATTTTTTTGTGCTACAAGATCTGACAGAGACAAGCAGTTGAAAACTGTCATTAAGTAAATGTAATTGATGTCTGCTGCTATACATCTTTAAGTTGGTTGTTTCGTTTATGTTGTGATTGTCATTATTGTTATTAACAGGTAAATAAATTATTGATGATTTGTCCGTGGTGAAGGGATGGGACTAGACAAGTTTCAACTTTGTCCCACTTCATTTTGAATATGCAAATGACAAAGTTATTTGACTTTCTAGTTTTGTTTTGTTTCTATTTTCTTTTTTCCCTTTGTTTTTTTTTTTTTTTTTTTTTGTCAGTTTATGTCTTTAATTGTAGTTCATGTCCTAATAAATTCTATTAAAAAAGTAATTTAAAAAAGTTAAAGGAATAGCAACGATGAGAGTTTGAACATTTCAGCGTGGCACTATAGGAGTTGTTGTCCTCACAGTAACATCCACGATTGCAGCTTAAAGCCTCTCCGACTTCTGAGGTATATACCAAATGTTTGTTTACCCGTTCAGAAGTGCATAGCAAATCTTGTATCGCTCTGTATTCAGCCTGGCACAAATGAAACACACTACCTTTGGTGTAAGTCTTGTTTCTACAGGTCTAAAAGTAATTGAAAAAAGATCTGCAAAAGTATGGGTTCAAATAATGTCACTAGTTCTCTTTTGTGTCGCTGTGTGAAAACAAGAATCAGACAATACAGAAAAACAACAATAGTTTATTTTAACCATATTTTGTGTATGTACTACAAACTCTGGTCTCTATAATCAATCTCCATATCTTTTAAAGGTCATCAAAGAATGCTTACATGAAAATCAATCTGGTATTCTTTTACATCATGTTTCTCTTTTTGCACTTTTAGAACAGGTTGTTGGCACATGTAAAATCAAAATTTAAAATTTTTTGTTTTATTCTCAAAATGTGTTTTTTATATAAATCTACCACTAGAACAGCATTCAATCTCAGAAAATGAAAAAAAAAAAATGAGGAAAAAGTTTGAAAAAAAAAAAAAAGTAGACCAAAATACTTAGATATCTTACATGAGACAGCTGGACTAAAATGCAACATATTTACGATTGAAATTTTCAGACAATTTACCTTCAACTAAAGGCAAAAAGGGAGGATGGTTACACTCTCTTACAGAAACTGAGCAGAATTGTGATCCAAATCCCACCACTAGGAACCCAAACACAGACTAAATGACACACAACCAGACCATTCTATGGTTTACAAATGTACCAAACTCCACTGAAGTGCAATTGTAAGATAAGCAGTGCCCAGGTGACAAAAAGCTTTGATATATGGAGTGAAAAAAATGCTCCATTTAGTCTGGGCTGATAGTGCTTGGGGACCTCATGTTAATAAGGAATCTAACAACCACATCTGTGTTGTGTGCACTGCATTCAAAGTGAACAAATAATAATAATAAAAGTATGATCTACTTTAATTTATGAAGCTTTATCCAGATTAACTGTTGTCATCAAATGATCTCAGCACATACAGTAAAACCCCTCATCACTGCTTCACTTATTCATTTGCATTCCAAAATGTATAAAAGTCTAATTCATATACTTTCCACTGAAGCCTACGTTAATCTTACTTGGATTCTACAGCAAAATTTATTACAATGATGTTCTTTCACATGGGGCTAATATCATCCAATTAACTGTGCATTAAATGAAATAACAAAGTTGATTTGCTGCCGCGTTTTCATTCAGCAGATTGGAGTAGAGCCATAGATTATTCACATGTCTAATCTATGCAATTATTCTATTACATACAAAAAGAAAACCCCAGGTGATACTTCTCCTGTGTGAATAGGGCTTTAGACTATAATTTTGTTTAATCTAATTCCTTTTTTGTATTCCGGTCATGGGACACTGAGATTAAAAAAAAAAAAAAAAGCTTTCCCATCCTGTTCAACCCGTTGTATTAATTTATTAGAAGTGGCCCATTTGTCTTAAAGTTTGGGAGTAATTCTTGTCTTTTCTTAATGGGAAATTATTTAAACTTGAAATGTGAAATAATTTAAACTTTGACTTGTAAGCAACATTGCAAATGCTATGTTAATGGTCTTAATGGACATCAGAGCTTGTTAGCCCATCAGTGTTGTGGAAACTTGTTCAAATGTGCTGATAGTTTGTTTCCAGTGCCAAAACCCACCATTGACATCAGCAACACTGACCACAACAGCCGAGCACTGCCTCTGCCTACTGTAAAAACCAAGTGAAATATGACATTTTCACATTAAACTTTCACACCCAAAGAAATTGTGTATTTGAAAGTCACAATACTGCTATTTTTCCCCACAAAAAGCCAGAACCAGGACTCACAACAATGGCTGCGTATATGATTTTGCTCAGTGTTATTGTCATCTTTAACAACCTCCTGTTATATCAACACAAAACTGGAGGTGGCAGGTTAATAAATTAGTTTTTACGCATTTTGAGTGGACTTGACTCCCTCTAATTTGCCTAGAGTATCTTTCTAACAGAGGATCTGACAGATGTCTGTTTGACCTCTGCTTAACTGGTGCTCATATTTGTATTTTTACACAGAGTAGTCTTTAAAATAGTTTTCAGGGTAGGGTGGATTGAGAGCTGTGTCCATCCCCAGCCCATGGGCACATCAATTAAAATGGAAATTGTGTTGTCACTAAGGGAGAAAGAGAGAGAGAGAGGCAGGTGCATCCCAAACATCTGGTTGATGCCGGATCCCACACATCCACCCACTCAAGCCTCCTGCAGAGGCAACTGCAGCCCCCTGCAGCTAAGGGGCCAAGTCCTGCAGTTGGCAGGGGCAGGGTGTGAATGAATGGCTGCCAGACACTGCCCACGTGAGAACGTGGCATGCAGATGATGCGGAATGTGATCAGACAGCTGCATAAAGGGTTTACGCTCTTTTCTCAGCTCATCAGTGGGATTCTGACAGCACTCAGACCTGTAGTGCAGCGGATGAGGTAAGAGCTACCAGTATGAAAAGGTGGATTCAAAGCTTTTATCTCCGTATGCAACAGTACAAAGCACTGTAAGGTAAGGGGGAGGTCATGACAATAATTGAAACATTTTAAGCTTGTGGGCTTTCTCAACACTCTAAGATCCACAGTTTTTCAATCCTTCTGATCCTCACATCTTTTTTTTTTCTTTTTGTCTCAGTCAGTTGTGTTGATTAGTGCTGCGCCTGTATCCATTTAATCTTATTTAGTCTTAATGCAATTAGAGTAACAGCTTTTATAATAATCTGAGGATAACTCAGCTTGTTTTGCAACTTGACTCAAAATGATAAGTGATCAGATAGTGACTTTTGAATACAGTAGGAACACAGACAAATGTGAGCTTCTTTGAAAGTAAGTCAATATGATCTAATTTAGCTAAAATAACAAACCTCAGGACAATTTCCTTTGATTTAAGACCCTTAATCTATCCAAGTACATACATGACACATGATGTCCTGACCGACAGTTTTGACACTCACCATGAGAATGACTAACGTGTTCATTCATCACGGTTTCATATGGCCACCGAAGATCTTATCACTTCATCCACAGCTAGAGAAAACCACCAGTGTGCTCTAGATTCCTTTGATTGACATGGGCAGAATGAGGTTACTCTTTCATCTGATCCCAAGTCTGCAGTTTACCAAGACAAGAATATTCATTTGCTCCAGGAGTTTCGCTTTGACGGATGTCTTCACACAGAGTTTGAAGGCATATTAGTAAACCAATCCCGTGAATGAGAGGAAAAAGATTAAAAAAACATGAATTAAGTGCTGAAAAAATAATCGCAGAATACATTTTTTTTCTTGATTGAACCACAATAGTTTTTTTTTCTTAAATAAATAACTTCTGTTTTGTAAAGACACTTTTTGAAACAGTAGACATACCCTAATTCCAAAAGTCATTGAATACACATCACCAGTCTCTGATTTGCCCAACACATGAGCAATAGTCCTCCATGTTTGAGCCATAGTCCTCACGACCAGTTTTCCATGAGCCCCAAATGTCTTTATCCAATTCCTTCAGTTTTATAATGTCTCATTTCCAAATAAAAAAAAAAAAAAAAAAAAAAGGAGGTTAGATTTGGGTCTCTTGTACATTGTCTTTTGAGCTGGCCCGAATTAACAAAGGTTCGTGCACTGAGCTGTGTATGGAGTTGATAGTGGCATGGTTGTATGCAGTCTTGTAAGTGTTATAGTGGTTGAGGTGCTCGTGCTCAAGTGGAGGCAGAGTCAGGTGGCCCTCCATGCCCGGGCCGCCTGTTACGCAGTCCTCATCCACATTGATGATCTCAATGGTGCGTGTGGGTGCATGGTGGTTCTGCTGGTGGTGCTGTTTGCGCATTTTGTAGAAGATGATCAGCATGACAGCTGCCATGAGTGTAATTGCAACAAAGCAGCCAATGATGATCTTGGTGGTCTTCATCACCTCGTCCAAGCCGTTCAGTGAGCCCTCCCCGACCAGCTCTGTGACTGGGATAGTGTAAGTCTTCTCTGTGGCGCGTGTGGATAGCGGCGTCCGGACTGTGGTGGTGGTTGTAGAAGTGGGCGAAACAGACTCCCATGTTCCAGCAGAGGGAGTGGGGCCCACCTTTTGTTGCACAGTAGTAGTGTAGCCTTCGTTATGCGGCGTCTCTATAGTCTCCACTGTCACTGTGGTAAAGTAGCTGAAGCTGCTGTTCTCCGTGGACGACACATTGAGTGTGGCAGATGCTGTTGTGTTGCCAGCAGAGTTACTAACCATACACGTATATGTGCCTGTGTCCTGCATGGTAACATTAGTGAAGTTCAGAGTGCCGTCATTTAGCACCGAGATTCGGACCTTGTATGCACCGTGTGTCATAATGGAACCATTGGGTGTAATCCAGCTTACAGAGGTCAAAGAGCTGGCTCTGCATCTTAACTCAGCAGCGCTTCCCTCTGTCACATTTAGATCTGCGGGAGGCTCCACAATAACTGGAGCATAACAGTGAAAGTAGTTCTGGTCTAGCTCACCGATGTATCGCCCCTTATGGTGGGAGGGTGAGCTGCAGCGGGCACAGCAGCTGGTGTTTGCTGGTACCATCTCCTTTAGCCACCAGCTTAGCCAGAGGATGTCACAGTTACAATTCCACGGGTTGTGGTGTAAGTGCACCCTCTCCAGGTGATGTAAAGGTGTGAAAAGATCATGGGGCAAGAGGGTAAGGTTGTTATGGGCTAGATTAAGCTCCACTAGTGACTGCAGATCATCAAAAGAGTTTCTTTCTATGGTCTGGATCTGGGCATGCATCATCCAAAGCTTCTGCAAATGGATGAGCCCTTTAAAAGAGCCCGGTCGGATGACAGATAGCTGGTTCCCTGACATCTCCAGTTCATCCAGCTTCACCAGGGGAATAAGGTTGGGAATTTCCTTCAGATTGCACATTCCCAGATTTAAGTAGCGCAGATTGCTCAGTCCTTCAAATGCTCCCTCAGAGATGTAAGAGAGCCGTTTGAGCTCCCCAAGGTCCAACCGCCGCAATGAGGGCACTCTGTTGAAAGCATAGGAGGGAATGCTCTCTATGGGGTTATTTCTCAGCCAAAGCTCCTTTAGTTTGGACAGGTACTCAAAAGCCCCATTTGGGATAGTAGTGAGGCGATTATCAAAAAGCTCCAGGGTGTTGAGGCTAGCCAGTCCATTGAAGGCTCCAAGCTCAATTTTGCGTATGTGGTTTTTGCTCAGCTGCAGAATCTCCAAATGTCTTAGGTGCTTGAAGCTGTCCACCTTAATGACCTGAATGAGATTTTCTTGTAGATTCAGGTAGCGTGTGTTGGTCGAGATGCCATCAGGGACTTCCCGCAGGCCTCGTCTGGTGCAGATGACCTTGCTGAACTGGTTACTGCAGGAGCAGACGGAGGGGCACGTCTGAGCACGTACCAGCCCTGCCACCACGAGCAGCTGGAGGGCCAAGAGCAGCACAAACAAAGGGTCGGACAAGGCCCGGTTCCACCTAGGACCTCGCATCATCTGCTGCTGCTGAGAGGAGGTCATCTTGTTTAACATTCATAATTCATTGACTGGTCGTCCACTCTTTGGAAAGAGGATTCTGGCTCACTGTAATAAAAGAGGAAACAGAAAAAAAGATACATTAGAAAATCACAGTTTTAGCAATTGTTACTAAAACATGCTAACATGCACGTTTTTTTGTTGCATTTACTGAGTATCACACACACATATTCTACCCTCATTCAGCAGTTTTATTTTATTTTATTTTATTTTTGTTCTTGGGGGCATGTGCCCCTCTCACTCTCTTAATCTTTGTCACATAAAATAAAATCACGACGAGGCCTCAGACATCTATGCTCAATCTCTGCGTGTGGACAAAAGTTGGGCAGACAAGCGGCTATGACAGCCATGTTGTGTGATTTATATTTTAGACTGAAGGGACATAAATAATGACAAGGCTTGCTATCCATCAGACCTTAAGATAAGTCAAGATATCTGAAAATGTCTGCTTGCGATCCCGGATTACTCAAAGGCACGTATGTGACTGAGATGTCAAACAAACCAGCCTTGATGAGACCTCAGAATTTGTTTGTACAACTTATTCTGTATCAGCCAGAGGAAACTGGGGAGTAGCAACAATAATTCTTTGATCTGTGTTTGCAAAAAGGAGGGCGCTATGGCAGGTATTGTGTTCGATGAAATGACAGATGTTTAGTAATTTTTTTTCAGTGTATGTTTTCTCCCTGTTTTCCACACAATCGTTTCAGTATTTCAGATGTTCATGTCGATGGTTGCATAGTGAGTTAAACTTTAAAGGAGGTACAAGTGGCATATTATAAATGATCAGCTGAAACGGGAGACAGGGGAGCAACAGCGCCTCTCCATAAAGTAAACCACTATACCAAAATTTTCACTTGAAACCTGAAAATTCAAAAGTCATATACCAAAACAAACAACAATAGAAGTGCTGGAAGGAGTTTGTCTTAAACCTCAAATTTGAGCTATTTTATACAATTTCAGATCCATCAGCTTAATACATTTATATATACAATATCAGCTTTGATGTTCAAGCGGCCCTGGGTGGCTACAAAACTTCTCAGTATTGATTTAATTCTACAAAAGTAAACTGAATTCACATGAATAACTTAAAAGTTTTTGCCATGCACAGCTGATGTAAATGAAATATTTTTCCTGTGACAGTGACGTTTCTCAAATGGAACGAAAATCTCGATTTAAGCACTGCAATGACAGCTTCACCCACGATTTGCTAAACATATTGTTATAAGACCTCACCCTTACACATTATTTGTCATCACTGTCACTGAAAGCAGATTTTTTTTTCCATCTCTAGGAAAGACTCTCGGCAGGTCGGAAGTGAGTCACAGAGCTAACACAAATATAGAGAAGCATTTATGTTCTTTAATCTACCTGACCTGAATGTTTTGACTGGAGCACATTTAGAAAATGAATGGGAACATGGTAAATAATAGAAACTTAGTGCTAGACTTGGAAACCTCAGTTAAGTGACAAGGATAACATGTCTTTTTGCATGGTAAAAATGCAGACACACCTTCTCATTCAATGTCTTTTCTTCATTTTTTTTATATGACTATTGACATTGTAGATTATCACTGAAGGCACCAAAACTATGAATGAACACGTGGAATATTGTATTTATAAAAAAAGTGTGTCAGTCATGAAGTAACCCTGACAAGGCACACCTGTGAAGTTAAAACCATTTCAGGTGACTACCTCATGAAGCTCATTGAGAGAACAGCAAAAGTTTGCAGCGCTATCAAAAAAGCAAAGGGTGGCTACTTTGAGGAATCTAAAATATAAAACATGTTTTCAGTTATCTCAAACTTTTTTCTTACACACATGATTCCACGTGTTCATTCATAGTTTTGATGCCCTCAGTGACAATCTACAATTAAAATAGTAATAAGAACAAAGAAAATGCATTGAATGAGAAGGTGTGTCAAAACTTTTGGCCTGTACTGTACATGTGATGATGAACAGTGATAAGAAAACAAGAAACAAGACTGAAAAAAAAATGTTTTTTTTTTTTTTTCACTTTCACCAGGAAAAAATTTCAAACTGCCAGATGTGTTAGTATATAATAGGTAGTATTTAGGACTGAGTCCAATTTTGTATAACATAGTTACTTTGCTCACAGATGAGTACAGCTGGGTTTTTCTTTTTTTTTTTTTTTAAATCAGAATACTTCATTTATCCCTGGGAAATTTGGTCGTTACAGCATTACACTTGCTCATCATCAGATCACATTATGAATCACATGGTGTTTTCCCTGTGCATACTGTTAATCAGTACAAACTATCTGTTGCTTATTATTATTATATATCGACATTATTACAGAGAGATAAATCTGTGTATCATCCACACATATGACAATGAACCTAGTGTGTATGTATAACAGATAATACTTAAAGCCTCTATATAAAGGGCTTTTAGCTGAAAAAGAAATGGACTGAATCTAAAACTGGTTCTTCTATATGACCTATACAGACAAGACCGTCGGCAAAAAGCTGTATTATTTCTTTGTGGTTGTTGTTTTTAGGTCTGTAACTTCCACCCCTGGTTGATATCAGGCAATGTGATTAACAGCACATACCAAAAGGGCCTTTGATTACAATTATATCTTTTTTCAATTTGGAAAAGACGTTTTACATGTTCAAAGAAAAAAGGATACTTTTTTTGTTAGAAAAGAGTAGGCCAGCAGGATCAGAATAAGGAATGTAAATTTAGTCCAAAACAAAAAGAAATGACACTACTTCTTGTGGTTTTATCACATAGTGATACATAATGATGCTCGCTGTCATGAGCGCCTCCAGTCATGGCTTCCCCAACGCAGCCTGCCTTTCCCACTGCCCAGCTCCAGCAGCAGCTCCAGGAATGGTCTCTGATCTCACTGTCACATGGTTTGAATCCATTATCACGGGTGTCTTGGAGCCTGAAGCTGCTTCAGCCCTGCCAGAAGATCCTGGAAGACCCTGGAAGCTAAGCCAAAATCAACAGCAGGGCCCGCTCCCTCACTTGTGCCCGCGAAGACGCAGGTGCCTGCCGGTGGAGGAGTGGAGGCTCCGGTGAATTCCACTCCATATCAGCCGGGGCTCTGGTCCATTGCGTGCAGGGATCAACACCATGCAGTACCTCCTTCAACCCTCTCATCACCTCCGACCATTCCGCTGACCAACAGGTTTGATGTCCTGAGCAAGAAGGATTTCCCTCCTCTGGGCAAGAATGCCCAACAGCAGCAAGCGGCAAAACCATCCTCCGTTCACCACAAGCTGCTGAAGGAGGCTGTCGCGCGGAGGAGTTCAGGGGGTAACACCAACCCTGTGACAACTGGACCCTCCGTTGCTGGTGAAGGTGCTTCTCTGGACTACAGAGCACCCCGGTGCCACCCCTGGAGCCATCCAGTCCCAATCCCACTCAGAAGTGTATCCATGAGGGCCTGGCCCCGGAGCCCTCCTTTCTCCCGGGCGCTCGACAGAGGTCTCCCTCATCTCAAGGCCATCCTGAAGACTTGGGCAGGAAAAGCGCAACGGGGGCGTAGCACACCCTTCCCTGGCAGCTAGACAACCGGCCCAGATGGCGGATCCTCGGGTGAGTCCTCTGTCTTGCTCCTCTGGTGGTGATGTGCATCCTGGGCCACCTCACGAGCCTGCTGCTTGTCCCTCTGTCCTCGTTGTCAGATCATCGATGGTCCGCCACGTGCAGATTAACCAGTGCACTACTTCGTGCCACCCAGGTGCACTTGTTGATGATATTAAACCCCCCCCCTGCTCCTACGTCACCACTCCTCTGTGTCCACCGTGGTGGCACATGTAGGATCAAATGATTTGCACCTTCAGCAGTCTGAGAAACTCAGAAATGATTTTATTCACTTAACAGTGCGTAATCTCTGGTCTGTTTCCCTCCCTTTGGTGACGTTAAATTCTCCCGTTCACGACAACTTCATATCTTAAGGACTACTGCTGCAACAGGGGCATTCCATATGTGGACAACTTCACATTATTTTACACAAGAACTGATCTCTTTAAACGTGATCGACTCCATCCAAATTACACCGGATCCTGTCTTTTATCATTTAACATCGATCTTACTCTGCACTCCTGCAAGGCTTTTTCAGCATGACAGTCCAAGCACAATTCCATAACATGCCCCACCTACCCTATTCCTGTCATCAGCACACCCAGAAAGCATTCCAGTCACTCAAAACCACCCTCAGGCATAAATCTGAACAATCTCAAATTTATAAATTTACATAACCTCCCTGTTGATCCCCCCAAACCTCCACAGAACACACTGAAAATGGCACTTTTAAATGTAAAATCTCTTTTAAACAAGTCTTTTCTGATAAAGGACCTTATTTTAGATAATAAAATTGATAAGGTAAAAGAGGATCAGATAGATAAGAAGGGCCAAAGCCATTAAGAGCTTTAAAAACCAATAAAGCAACCTTAAAATCTATTCTAAAAGTGACGGGTAGCCAATGCAGAGACCTTAAAATCGGTGTAATGTGATCTCTCTTTCTGATCCTTGTTAACATCCGTGCAGCTGAATTTTGCAATAATTGCAGGTGTGAAATATTCTTTTTGGGGAGACCAGAAAGGAGGGCATTACAATAATCTATCCCACAAGTGATAAAATTCATAATTTGGTAGAAAGGCCTCTATCAGTGTCACAAGTCCATCTGTGCTAAGCCATGTTTCAGCTAAAAAACAATTAAACATATAAAACGTTGTAAACTAAACTGAGGATTAAAAAAATATCAAAATATACAATATTTGTTTACTCAAAGCATTTATCAAACCCCATGATTTAAACAAGCCACTGAGCCACAACTACACCAGGATTTCTTTTACCTGTCGGACATTTTAAAAGATGCTAGTACCTATTTTCATCCTCATATTATTACTGTTCTTTTTTAGCAATTTAAATTGACCCCTACAATACATGATGGAAACAATTCACACACCAACATGTGAAAAAGAGGGTGTATCGTCACTCTTTCCTCAGAGTACCTGACAAAGTATCAGAACTGTATTGTTGTGTAAACCACTCAGCCTGTCAAGTGTGCTTCACTTTTTATATTTCAAATGAACTTGTGCACATGTGCAACTTGTGCATATAATGCTTTATGAGTTGCGTGTTTCAAAATCAAATTATCTCCTCACAAATCAATTCTACAAATTTGAACACACAGAAATGAAACAAGAGAAGGAGCTGGTTACTGATGCACACACTGTCCGACTATCAGTTCCTGTTCTGCGACTAGAGTTGTTTTGTAGGATGTATCATATTTTGTGCATTATAAATAAGCCAGAAAAAGCCACATTAATTATTTAGCAAGGCTACTGGAAACTCTTCTGGGGCTGAAGTCATCTAAAATAAGTCTGGTGACGCCAAAACTTGTCAAAAAGCAGTGAGTGATTTCGTTTCTTAGCTCTCTTTCCAGGCTCAACAAACATCTCCTGCTTCGGGTTTTTACAAACACAGTCATGGCCTTATTTGAAAGGTGGGGAATTGAGATAACACTTGCCTAAAGTTTTCCCTTATTCAGCTGATGCTTAAAGACACACCAATTATAAACTTTATCGTGATGGGAGACTGACAGGATCTTTGACTTTCAGACTGCATGACGAGCAGGGGAGGTGATGATGAGAGATGTAGAGAGAGGGATAAAGGAAGGTCGGCATGTAAGCTGGAGAAAGAGATGGGGAGAGATAGAGAGAGAGAGAGAGGGGGGAGAGAAAGATTAATGAGATATAAATCAAATCAGGTCACTTTATAATACTGCCAGGAATCTTACAACAGCTCCAAATATAAACCAGAATCCTTCATGGATTCCAGTGTGGGAGGGATACCCACCACATTCATCACAGACCTACTCCTCCTTCTCTTTATCTCCAACCACCCAGCATTGACTCACAGGACGAACTATTCATTGAATGGATGAGGGTATTCCTCTGTATTGTATTTATCATGTAATGCATGTGGTCATACAGTGTTGTACCACCATTTATCCCGACTGTTTTTTTCTGGGTTAGAACAGGACATCCTGCCCTTGAGCCAGTGTCAGGAACTGCTGTGTGTCTGCTGAGAAATTGTGTGATATTTTCAAGACAAAAACCCTGAGTAACCTTGTGACTCAACATGGCCTCTACCTTTGAAAGGAAAAACAAAAAAAGTCCTCTTCAATCCCTGACACATTTCCCCGGTCATTAAACTTGTCTTCACTAACAGCATCTTGAATTAACGTCTATTTTATGAACAATGTTCAATTATAGAATTAAGTGTTTTTCTTATTGATAACATTTAGTATAAAGTTCATTCTGTTCATCTTACCTAGTGTTACGGTTTTGTATTAGCGCCTCTTTATCGCATGTACAGTCGCCTTTGGCTAGTGGGTTTTTCCCTGTTGGTGTCCGCTCGTGTTTCCCCATTGGTGGGGTTGACTTCATCGTGGGGAACGACATAGCCGGTGGTAAAGTTTATCCCACTCCTGAAATTGTTAGTGTTCCAATTTCAGGGATAGAAAGTGACGACTTGGCAAAAAGTCACCCTGACATATTTTCAGTTAGTGTGCTAACCAGAGCTCAGGTGTGTGAGCATCCTCCGAATATTGATTTGTCTAACGCATCGTTTGCAGAGGTTATGGCGGACGATAAACTGCCCCCTGCAGGTGCCTCAGTGAATGACACCTTAAAGGAGCCTGAAAGCCCGTGTAATAATTACACAGCCCGTTCTTGCACCAGTTGTTGTACCAGGCAGTACAACATATACCACTTATTTAATTTCACAAAAATAAAACAGAAGTGCTAATAAATTATACATTAAGAGACTTTTCACTGTTACTCTTTACTGTTGATGCACTGCGCTGCCATCTTGGATTATGACGTTGATGTCAAGTCGAGGTTGGTGAGGATCGTCTGACTTTCCGAGTCAGAAATCCGATTTCAGGGGGGCATTCCAGATGAATTTCTGACTGGGCGCTCGGAAATCCGGACTTCTGAGTACAACTGGAATGCAGCATAACACTTTTTTTTTTAGAATACCACATATATGAGCGAGAGTGCCTACAATGCCAGCTTTGCTCTACAAACAGAACGTTTTTGTTGCAAACATCAAATCATGCTGATACACAGCTGGTAGTATGACTCCACTCATACTGAAGATCTTAATGTCTGAGAACCAGTTCTTCATTTTTATATAGAATCTGCAAGATTACAACACGATCACGACAAATCTCTTTTGTGAACTGCGTATATAACAGTCTTTCCATTTGACCCAATAAGTCAGAGTGATTCACCTTCAATTCAAAATGCAGTTTAAGTTAAGTAAATTATTCAATAGCATATGCAAAGGGACATCCTCTAACCCTATTACGTTTGATACAGTAAAAATCATGTGCCACTGTGCCCTCACGGCACAGACTCAGACACAGATGAGCGAACATCACATTTTAAGCCAGCATCAAATGAAGTGTTCAGAAATATTGAGAGAGAAAAAAAATGAAGATGGTCATACTGCAGCTCTTCTCAGTGTCTTTTGTTTTCGCCAGCCAAGTGAAACAGACAAGCCGAGTACTTTGAATTGGTGCTAACTAGCCAAGTGAGACAAACTGACAGCTGCTCCCCTGCCCACAGCCTGACATGCTTCCACTCACAGCTTGTCTGCCTCATCCATAACAAGATGGTGAAACTGATTTGATTCATCTAACAAACACTGAATTTAAGCAGCAGTTGCGGCTTAAATTTGTGGCTGGGAAGTTTCACTACCATAGAGGCCGTCCTGTGCCTTTTCCAGCTTTAAAATCAGATGGTTAAATAATTACAAACAGAGAGTGTATCCCCCCACCAGCACTGAAGATCAGTAAAGAGGAGGCATGTCAGCTCTTTCTGAGGCAGAAGATCAGGAAGGCTCTAGGACCTGATGGTGTGTCCCCCTCCTGCCTGACCACCTAGCCCCCATCTTCACCCAGATCTTTCATTGATCTGTGGAGCTGTGTGATACCTCAGACGCTCCATTATCATCCTGGTCCCAGAGAAACCCTCCATCACAGGATTAAATGACTACGGCCCTATCATCCTGATGTCTGTGGTCATGAGGGCCTTCGAAAGACAGGTGTTGAGCCACCTGAAGGACTTCACAGGCCCCCTCCTAGACCCCCTGCAGTTTGCTTTCCTGTGAAAACAGGTCGGTGGAAACATTGGACTGCACTACAGCTTGTGCCACCTCAACACTGCAGGGACCTATGCGCGGATCTTGTTTGTGGACTTCAGCATGCAAAACTATCATTCCTGAGCTTCTAAAACTAAAGACTAAAGACTAAATTGTCCACAGGCTTTTATTTCATATGTTTATGTAAAAGTGCACTCCTGCAGTATCTCCTGCTATTTGTTTGATCTCTTAGTTCACAGATTGCATCTTGTGTGTCAACAGAAGGAGCAGCAAAGGTCTCAGCCGCCTCACTAATATCAGCATTCAGTCCTAATTGGAAAGCACACAATGAAGATGAAGAAGGGCGGGCAGGAGAGAAGAAAGACACAAGCTCATCTAATAAGCTGTTGCG